TATATATATATATATAGAGAGAGAGAGAGAGAGAGAGAGAGAGAATAAAAGATAACCCTTTAGAGAATAGAAGAGAATAGAAGCTTAAATCCAGTTTAATATTAATCAGTCGACAACCCTGCTAAACACTTTTATGTCGACTTTCTATTATTGTGTATCTTTTTGTTCCTTAAAGCTAATGTGTGCTATTTCTTGATGTTAAAATAAGTTTTGGAAATTGTAAATACTCATTTGACAGTTGATTTCCCCCCAAAAACACTTGTCACAAAATAATGTTTGTTTGAGAGGCTCGACCAGGCCAGCATAGCAACAGTGGCTCAACCAATAGCGTGAGTTTTGGGCGTGGCTGTCTGTCTGTCTGACCAATGAAAGATGGGGGGAGTGTTTATAAACAGGAAACATGTTTATAAACAGTCATTCGTTCATCTTCATTTGGTGGCACAGAAACGACATGCTTCAGATCTGCTGAAATGTGTCTTCGCTAACACCGAACTAACACGAGCTACAGTAGTCAACAAACAGTTGAACTAAATTAGTTCAGGGACAAATATGCTGTCAGTCTGTCCCTGCTGGATTGAAGCCTGGCAAGTTTTTTCATCATCTTGTGTACATTCAAAGTAGTTTATATTTAAAATGAGTAGCGAGACAGCTAATCAGTCAAATCTGGAAACCTCGCGGTGTTTACGCTTCGGAAAAGCGGAGGCAATCTGTCGCTGAGGGACAAGTAATTGACTTCTGTTGTACCAGTGTCAGGACTGCTGTAGTTAGAGTTTCTCAATCTCTCAGCCGACAATTTCCGAATGACCCTAAATGGCCTTACTTCATGACTGCTTGCTAGCCACTAACCCCCAGTTTTTGCTCTACTGCATGCAATGATAGCAGATGATACTAGATCTGATTCGCTCAGAGGTAGAGATTGCTCTTTAAAGAGAACAGTAGCTTGACAAATCAAGTGTGGGGACTTGGCTGGTTCACTCGTAACTTTGTTTTGGACCTTTCTTGAACAGGAAAGGAGTCCCAGATTAAAGAACTCAAGCTAGTGAAAAAATAAATTACCGTTTGTCTCAGAGGAGCGTGTGGTATCATACTGTAGACGACAGGGCTCAGGGAGTAATTCTCAGGGTATTTTCTTGAATGTGACATTATCTGAGTGAACGCGCTTCAATTATTTAAAGCACCATTGCTGTCTCTGTTCTATCAGAAAGATATTTGGTGTTCTGGGTAAATAATTGATTCTGCTCCGACTGTTACTCCTAGCAAGCTGATCTCATGAGGGTGTGGATGTATGTGTTTTTCATCTTTACATGCATTGTACTTCAGCATCTGATATCATGCTAGCTTGTTTAATGGAGCTAATGGGAATAGCAGAGTTTTAAGACTCATCAAAAGTGCGGATATTTGTGCTTAGTCACTCTACACGTGTTCATGTGTGTGTCAGGGTTGTGCAGCATTCAGAATGCATTGGATTTCTTATATTGAAATTAATTTGAATTGCAGTTAAAAAAAATAAATAAATAAATAATAATAATAATAAAAATGACACAGGGTTGTGATTAGAATGCTAATTGCTGTCTCTGTTCTATCAGAGAGATATTTGGTGTTCTGGGTAAATAATTGATTCTGCTCCGACTGTTACTCCTAGCAAGCTGATCTCATGAGGGTGTGGATGTATGTGTTTTTCATCTTTACATGCATTGTACTTCAGCATCTGATATCATGCTAGCTTGTTTAATGGAGCTGATGGGAATAGCAGAGTTTTAAGACTCATCAAAAGTGCGGATATTTGTGCTTAGTCACTCTACACGTGTTCATGTGTGTGTCAGGGTTGTGCAGCATTCAGAATTCATTGGATTTCTTATATTGAAATTAATTTGAATTGCAGTTAAAAAAAAATAAAAAATAATAATAATAATAATAAAAATGACACAGGGTTGTGATTAGAATGCTATGAGTTAACTGTGTGACACTCTAATAAGTGTACAATAACACATGACACGGTTATTGGGTAAAATAGTTTGTAATTACTCTTAAATATTGTTGTTGTTTAGTTTTGTTTTTGGTGTGTGTTGTTTTTTTTTTGTCTTTATTTTTTAAGTTTTGTTGTATTTTGTGTTTAGTTTTGCTTTGGGGTTTTTTTTTTTTTTTTTTTTTTTTTTTTTTGTTTTTTTTTTTTGCGTTTTGGTGTGTTTTTTAGCCTTTTTGTTAGGATTTTAGTTTTGATGTGTTGTTATTTTTAGTTTTGTTTTGTTGCATTTTTGTTTTGTTATTTTGCTTTGGTCGGAGGGGGGTTGTCTTGTGTTTTCATTTTGTTTTTACTTTATTTTTGGTGTGTTTTTTGCCTCTGTTGTGTGTTGTTGTTGTTTTATTTTGTTGTATTTTGATATAGTTTTGTTTTTGTGTGTTTTTTGCCTTCTGTTTTGTAGTTTGTTTCAATTTTAGTTTTGTTTTGGTGTGTGTTTTTTTTGGCTTTTTTTTGTTTGGTTTTTAGTTTTGTTTAGGTTTTTTTTTTGTTTTTTTGTTAGTTTTGTTGTGTTGATGTGTTTTTAGATTTGTTTTGGTATTTTTTTATTGTTTGATTTTGATATTTTATTTTTGTTTTATTTTCATTTTGTTGAGTTGTTTTTAGTTTTGTTTTGGTGTGTGTGTGTGTTTTGTTTTTTTGTTTTTTTGTTTTTGTTTATATACTTTCCATAGTGGAAGAACATTTCTTAGCCAATTTGTTTAGCTGCTGAATTTCATTCAATTTGCAATTTAGTAAATTCCTCTTCTTCTTTTAATTCAAATAACTGTATATTAAAATGGAGTCATTTTTTAAATTTGATAAAGGAGAAATGATCACTGCATTGTTGCAAGAGAGAGTTGTATAGAAAACGACAGCACGAAAGGTTACAAGATGGTGCAAGGAATTTCAAGTAGGACTCAGAGACCATGAACAAGAAAAAAAGTCCTCATTCTTTCTTGTGCGTTTCCACCTGTCCCCCAGATGGGATTCAGTCGCCAAATTAACTGTGCTGTCTTTCTGCTTTTGTTTGGGCGGCAGAATGCTGGCCGTGTCCAATCAGCTGGGCTCTGGAGTGCGTCATCTGGATTGATGTAGCTTTTCATTCTGGCATCGCCAGGTGCCAGTCCGTCATTCACACCGTTGCCACGGAAATAGTGAAATGCTCTGCGGTCCTGAAAGCAAACACGGCCCAGTAATAGCCAGGTGTAATAGAATGTTTCTCTGGCACTAATTGTCTCTAGCTGTCCTCTGGAGAAGCCATCAGTGCAGGTTTTGGGTATTAGCGTTGTTTTTGGTCAAACTATTTCTTTTTAGCAGTGATTTCTTTTGCATTGTTTAATAAAGCATGAACATTTAGATGACAGTGCTTTCTTAAAGGGCCCGGTCCGTTCAAAAAGGCGTAATTTTCATTTTTGTGCAAACTATTCCTTTAAATAAACACAATGCAGATTCCTCTAATCCTGTATTTTTAAATTCTGGCCTCTTGTTGAAAGCAAATGCTGATTTATTTCTACACTAAATCCAAACCTGTAGTCATTGTGAAGTTATAAGAGATTAAAACTCAGTGTTCTTTAGTGCTCTTTTATTATGTGATGTGATTTATTCATGCATTCCATAAAGTGTAATTTCCCGCATTTCTCTCACCACCCTCTTATTGCCTGTTTTCATTAAAATGCGTCCGTCTCCATGGTGAATGTTGCCATAAAGGGCTAAAAGAAATCATTGGTAACCAATCATGCCGCAATCAGCAATGTTTGAAGGAAAGGCATGAAATTCAAAGTGCATATTAAAGGAGGTATAAGGGAGTGGATGGAAAGCAATAAGCAGGCTCAAAATTATGTATCATTTTAAGTGATCACACTTAAATGTGTTTACGCCCTTTCATAGGTGTGCATAATTAACTTGTTAACATAAAAAAGAGGGGCATGTTGGTTCTGTTGCTCTTAAACAATTTATTTTAAAATCGTAATATAGATTCTTGAATACTCCAGAGCTTTACATGACTTTGAAATACAGTACCAGTTAAATATGATATTTTAAAAGACTTACTGACGTTGGCTCACAGTCGAGAGAGTCTGCAGAGGTCCTCTCTATGATATCATTTCCTGATTTGTTTTGTGTATGTGTTTCATGTTGAGTTGTATTCTTGTTTGTGTGTTGTGTTTTGTTTTTCTTGTGTTTTGGTTTGTGTGTTGTGTTTTGTTTTTCTTGTGTTTTGGTTTGTGTGTTGTGTTTTTTTTGTTGTTTCACGTTGATGTTTTTGTTTTGTTCTATTATTTTTTGGTTTTGTTGAGTATTTCGTTTTGTTTTGTGTTCTTGTGTCGTATTGTTGTTGTTTTTTTTTCATGTTGTTTTTTTTTTTTTTTGTTCTTTTGTGTTTCATGTTGTTTTTTTGTGTGTCTTTTTGGTATGTTTTTTTTTTTTGTGTGTGTGTTTTATGTTGTGCTGCTTTTGTGTGTGTGTATTTTGTTCTGTTTTAGTTTGTTTTATTTTGTTCATTGCATGTTTCTTAATGTTGGTTGAACCACACAACATTTTTTTTTTTTTATGTAAGCAGTGAAGCAGTTTTGTTAAAACATTTTTTTTTTCATTAAGTTTTTTTCATAAATTTTTTATTCATGTATTTATTTTTATAAGAAATTATTTTCATGAACTTATTTTTTATGATTTTTCCCCTTCATTATCCTATAAAGACAGATCTGTCATTCTGACCTTTTTTAACTCCATACGTGCCAAAAAACATAAAATTAAATTAAATTCAGAAATGTAAAACTCATCATTAAAGTGGTGTTTTTCAGTCAGTATATATAATCAATGAATTTCATTTTTAATATATTTTTGTAAAAATATAGTCGAAAAAAAAGAATGTCAGTGTCATTGACCCAAATGCTGATTTGTGTCCATTTCTTTGTAGATCGATGAGATGCAGTGGCCCAATGGTGAGATGGAAATACCCAGCTCGGTCTGCAGTCTGCCCTGTAAGACGGGTCAACGCAAGAAGATGGTGAAAGGCATGCCGTGCTGCTGGCACTGCGAGCCCTGCGACGGCTACCAGTACCAGTTTGACGAGACGTCCTGCAAGCTCTGCACTTACAACATGCATCCGAACGCCAATCGCACTGGCTGCCAGCCCATCCCGATCGTCAAGCTGGAGTGGCATTCGCCCTGGGCCGTCATTCCCGTCTTCCTGGCTATGCTCGGCATCATCGCCACCACCTTTGTTATGGCAACGTTCATCCGCTACAACGACACCCCGATCGTACGAGCGTCTGGGAGGGAGCTCAGCTACTTTCTGCTGACCGGGATATTCCTGTGTTACATCATCACATTTGTAATGATCGCCACTCCGGACATTGCCGTTTGCTCCTTCAGACGAATCTTCCTTGGGCTGGGAATGTGTATTAGCTACGCGGCGCTCCTCACTAAGACCAATCGAATTTACCGCATCTTTGAGGAAGGGAAGACGTCGGTTACTCCACCTAAACTGATCAGCCCGACGTCTCAGTTAGCCATCACGTCCAGCCTCATCTCCGTCCAGCTCTTAGGGGTCCTCATATGGTTCGGAGTGGATCCTCCGAACACCATAATTGATTATGACGAACAGAAGACCATAAACCCTGATAAGGCCCGAGGGGTTCTCAAGTGTGACATTACGGACCTACAAATCATTTGCTCTCTAGGATACAGCATCTTGCTGATGGTAACATGTACGGTTTACGCCATCAAGACGCGAGGCGTTCCGGAGAACTTCAACGAAGCCAAACCCATCGGCTTCACCATGTACACCACATGCATTGTGTGGCTCGCCTTCATTCCTATTTTCTTTGGGACGGCACAATCTGCAGAAAAGGTAATGCTTGTTTTAGTACTTTTTACAATGTGCATCGGTTTTCGATTTTGAGTATTTGCATGCCATTTGCGCTTGTTGATTTTACTCGATATTTCACAGAGAGAATTTAAGTTCTGTCGGTTTTTTTATATTCGCCCTCATCTCGTTCTAAACACAAAAGCTCTTATTTTGTCTTTGAAAGACAGAAAAGAGGAATTTTGAAAAATGTTGCAGCTTTCCCATACAATGACAAAGACTGTCAAGCTCTCTCTTTATTTATTTATTTATTTATTTATTCGTCATTTATTATTATTAGTAGTAGTAGTAGTATTATTATTTAGATTTAATTAACTTTTTTTAGTGTTCATTGCCAAGGCAGCATTTACAATTTTCATTCCAAACTTTTAGGTTTAAGTTTGTTTTGAAATTTGTTTTGTTTAGGTGTCCCACAACAATCTTTTAAAAGACATTTCATTAGCATAAGGACATTTGCTCATTATCTGCATACGAGACGAATGGATCTGCTTTTTCTCCTCTGTGCCGGTACTGAAAAGCAATTACCTAAATAATAGAGTGTGCTGATTTCAGCATGTACCAACGCCAGATACTGTACCATGATGGGCGCTGACACCAAAATATTATTATTCGTTAGGACCTTTTAATTACATTTCTAACACACAGGATGTTGTTTCATGCCTTGATAAACATGCTATGTAACGCGACAGTCAGCTTCTGGAAATTCAATTCATTCTATCCAGAGAAAATCATTTGTTACAATTACGTACATGCCTTTAAACTATCATGAGCTACCGCAGATTTTATACTTCTGTAGGAGCTACAAATCATTGTGATTTCAGTTAGAAAAAAACATGTTTAATTGATAAATTCCCACTGAAGAACTACATTACCCATAAGCCCTTAAAAAATAATTCAGTTAGCAGTGTTATTTTAGTACAGTATAGTGTTATAATGTTTAATAATACTATATTTAATGATATTTAATATTTTTAATAATATTTTCAGTTTTCATTTAAGTTTTAGTAATTTCATGTGCTTTTGTCATTTTTATTAATTTTAAATATTTTTTAACTATTCCTATTCAGCTTTTTATTTTTTTGATTTAGTAATATTAGTCACTTACAATTATTTCAGTAAGTTGCCAGAGCAACATTTCTAATAGTTTACGATTTTTAATCATTTTAATTTGTTGACAGTGACAACAATGCCAATCAGAGAAGTCAAGATACCAAGAAAACCATAAAGCTAATTCATTATAACAGTCAGTATAACTGTTTATTCATTTACATTTTATATTCAAAATGAATTATAATCAAATGTTTATTTTTAAATCTATTCATTTTGTATAATGTGCGCTGTATATGAGAACTGAAGAAGTGGAGCGTGCGCGAGAGAGAGAGCACTTCTATCAGCGCGATTCCGCCTATCCCGCCTTCACTAACTTTAAGTTAATCGACAACGAATTGTCTCTCCTGGGAAAAATGGGATGTCTTGTCACCTTATCCCTACCCCTTCGGGGGCTGAGGCCATTGTTTCAGATCGCTAGTTCGCGTTTTGGTAGTATAGTCCCGTCTCGTCTTGTTAACGAAGACGCGGCATACATTTAGTCATAGTTTTTATCATCAGATATTAGTTTTAGCTCGTCAACGTCTCATCTTAGTCACAGAAAAAAATGTTTGTTAATGAATATTTTTCGTCGTCGTCTTCGTTGACGAAATTAACACTGCTGTAAAGTAAACAGGAAGCGTTTGTCCAAACGCAAAAGCTCTAAAACATATTTTTTCCTCCCATCCCAAATCTTTTCCACCAGCATGTCCCTTTAGGGGCGCCGTACACTGCTGCTCTCTACAGCCAAATCAAATTTTATTTGTCGCCACAACAATGAACCATTTCATCGCATCTTTTCTGATCTTTGTATGAGGAATACTGAATCTGTGTTTTTTTTTGTGAGTGAGATGAATTAAGAATGAATTTTGTGAGTGAGATGACTTTTAGAACTACAGTAACATCTTCTGATTTCTCTCAACATGGGGACAGAAGAGCTGTCAATCAATAAATTTGAAAAAGTATTTGAAAAAGTAACTCAGATATTATCTTGTAAATGAAAAAGTAATGTGTTACTTTACTAGTTACTTGAAAAAAGTAATCTTATTACGTAACTCTCATTACTTGTAATGCATTACCCCCAACACTGTTCATGACTCTCATTAAGCTTAACCCCACGCGAGGATGCAGCTTTTCAAACGCAAATGAAAGCAGGAAATCGTGCGCCGGAGTCTGCTCGTGTTACGGAGGGAAGAGACATAGCTGCGGATTCCCGTGACTATTACCTGAACCCGGCTGGAGGACACCAGAGATGATGTACAATCCTGAGAGGCAAACAGCAGCTCATTAGAGGGAAGAATCAGCCTCATCTGCGCCAGAGCCTACAGGCGTGTGAAAGTCTGACGTCAGCCGGCCGTTCCAGCTGAGAGGAACTGGCCTTTGCTGCTTGTCATTACTTACCTGGCGAGAGTCACGCGGAATACAAATTAAGCTCTTCCGCTCTGACAGAGACGAGCCGCTGTGAAGTGTGTGAGCACGGGAAAGTGGCACGCGCATGGACCAACGAGTCGCAAGCACAAAGCGAAGCAAGCCTTTCAGAATTCGACTAAATGAAAATAATGACTTCACTCAGCTGTGTGGCGTTGCAGGCGCTGTGTTCGTGACAGTAGTGGAAATAAGGCTCTTAGCATTGTTTGCGAGCCGGCCTTCATCTTAAGAATGACAGGACGGGTCTGTGTGAGGCTCAAATACACAAAGAGGGAGTCTCTATTACTCTATTACAGAGTAGCATCTGCACATGACATTTATTTATTTATTTTATATTTTTGGCTATTTTTATTTTATAGCTAACCTTACTAGGCTTCTGAAAATTTAACAAAAACAAAACTTATATATACAAGAAAAAAAATTGTAAGTTTTTGTTTGCATGTACATATTTAAGATTTTTTTTTCTTTTATATACAGTATAAAATATTAATATTAATATTTACTTATAATATATGATATACAGTATATATATATATATATATATATATATATATG